GATGGTAATTACTCACAAGCACTTGGTGATCACTGAGTATCTCTGAAGGGGGAAAGACCTGTATGTAAACAATACAGATCTCTCCTCTGTTGGCTCCTGTACACTGCTTTGTATGGCTCTGCATAGCACACAGTGAAGCACACACACAGCCCCCATAGTGAAACAGTACACAGCACACAGTTAACCCTTTGATCGCCCCACATGTTAACCCCTTCCTGCCGAGTGCCATTAGTACAGTGTCAGTGCTTTTTATTAGCACTGATCACTGTATTGTGTCACTGGGGATGTCAGTGACACTATGTCAGTTTATATACCGCCATTTGTAAACGTTATAACTTTCACGTAAACCAATTAATTTACACGTATTGGGATTTTGGGGGACATGTTGCAGAATACATTTTGGCCTATTTATTCTGAAATTTGATTTTAAAATTTTTTTTACTGGACATGTTTAATAGCAAAAAGTCCAAAATATTGTTTTTTTCCACAAAATTGTCTGTCTTTTTTTATTTATAGAGCAAAACATAAAAACTGCACAGACAATCAAATACCACCGAAAGAAAGCTCTCTTTGTGGGAAACAAAGGACATAAATTTTATTTGGGTGCAGCGTTGCGTGACCGCGCAATTGTCAGTTAAAATAACGCAGTGCCGTATCACAAAAGATGTCCTGGTCAGGAAGGGGGATAAATCCTCTGGAGGGCAAATGTTTGATATGTATATTCAGTAGTTTGCTCTGTATTTTTAGTTGTTTTTTTTGGCATTCAAATAGATGTTTATTGGGAGAGTTATTACACAATAATCAAATTTTTTTTTTTGTTCCAGTTATTCTCTATATGGAAGGAGTTACCATTTTTCTGTGTTTTTCAACCTTTTTAAGCATGGAGGAACCCTTGAAATTATTTTTTAGTCTCAGGGAACCCTGATAATATTTTCTATATGTTACTGTGATGGCCATTGGGAATGCTCCTTACATGTAACATAAGTGGGCTATCTCAGAAATTGTTCCGCATGTTGATAAATTTCACTCTGACGTAACATAGCTTAGAATATTAATGATCACTTAATAAACTGAAAGAATCTTTTTATTGTGCAGGTATTCCATAGTTTTAAATATTAGAGCAGTGTAAGAAAAATAGTTGCAATCAATGCAGGCAAGCTGGGGAGACATGTTTGCTGTGGACTGCACCTGCTACATATAACAGATACACTTGTATGTGTTAAAAAGATGATAGCAAACTGAGAAATAGTGTGCACTTCACATCAATGGGAGTGTCAAATACAACACCTAAGCATGGGTCAAAGTTCTCCTGTCATTTCCAGGGGAGTTGTCCTAGGCTGCCATCTGGTGGCCATTTTTCAGTACTGCCTCACACATAGGTAAAATGAGAACACAAATTTTTAATTATTTATTTATTTCAGGTACTTATATAGCACCACCCATTTACGCAACACTTTATACATATATATTGTACATTCATATCAGTCCCTAACCCTCAAGGGGTGTACAATCTAAGGTCCCTAACTCACTTTCATACATACACATAATATGGACAATTTAGACAGGATCCAATTAACCTACCAGCATGTCTTTGGAGTGTGGGAGGAAACTGGAGTACCCGAAGGAAACCCATGTTGGCACAGGGAGAACATGCAAACTCCAGGCAGGTGGTGCCGTGGCTGGGATTTGAACCAACGACCCTACTACTGCCAGACGGAAGTTCTAACCATTTAGCCACTGTTAATTGAGCACATTCTCCTTTTATGTCAAGAACAAGGCACAATGCTGAATGTTCCTTATGAACCTTCTTAGGCCTAAAATGTTTGATAATGTAGCATTTTAAACTGCATTGCGTAGCTTTCTTTTGAAGGGGGTTATGAGAAATGACCCTCCCCAAACAGGATATTGCGCTAAACCTAAAGGTTAATAAGAAAACCAGAACCTTCATTAAGTGGAAGAGTGGATTTGATACATTGGCAATGCCTCCACCTAAGACAGGGCCTCTATGGACACAGAAGATTCCCTTCCTGGGAAATTAATCAGTAATCTAAACAAAATAATTGGGAGCAGAAGAACTACTGCAAGCAGCATGTAACATTAACCATAAATATATAGATGTAGAAATAATACAAGCTTTATATAAGAAGTGATTAATAATGCTACATATGTAGGCAGGTGCAGTCTGCTTTCTCCACTGCAGGTGGCGCTCAACCACAGTGGCATTGCAGAGGGAGAGAAAGTCAAGAGGAACATGGTTCCTCAATGGTTTTCTTGGTCACTGGGGAAGCTATCTAGTTGGATGCTACAGCTCCATGTAACTCGTGCAGCCATCTTGGATCAGGCTGAGTCTATTTAACCTCCCTAGCGGTCTGATTATGTCTGTATTTCTGTGCTCAAAGCGGTACATTTTTTTGCATGGAAATATGTAGTTTTTTTATTGTAGGCCTGTAATTCTTAGGAATAACTCACTGAAATCTGTCCGAACAAGAGTCTAGTAAACAATCTGGGTATGTGAAAATTTGAAACACGAAATCATAAATTATAATTTAATAAGTAATTATAAAAAATAATAATATAATAATAATAATAATAAAAAATGTAATTCAATATTGTCATCAAACCAAAAACACTGAAATTTAAAATAGAGCACCAAATTCGCACGTCACTGAGCAAAGTCGCAAAATCGTTTTCAGTGTCTGATGACGAATTTCCCCACGAATCATTATCACTCAATTCTGCAAGTGGTTCTGATTTACTATCACTGTTCTCTAGCTGGTCTAAAACCCCTTTTGACCTAAAGGGACGCTTTTTGGACACCATGGACTTTTCTCACTTTCCCGGCAGAAAGAACAGTAAAAATGCAGGCAGGGCACAGGACAAAGCACTCGGGACAAAATGTATGTGAAATGGTTTGATACAGTAATGTTTTACTATGTGATTTTAGTGTATTGAGTGAATGTCACTTTTTGTCATTTTAAAATTTCCCGCCAGTTCCGTTCCCGTACGTCCTGACGTCGCAGGGAACAGAACCCGGAAGACAGATGCCGGCATTGGCCAGAGGAGATGGCTGGGGACGCTGCAGGGGGGACATCGTGGGAGCGAAGGACAAAGTAAGTGCAGAAGGGATCTTGGAGCAACACTGCGGGGTAATCCCGAGTGTAGCTCGGGGTTACCACTTGTGGTGCTGAAACTTTACCCCGAGCTACACTCGGGAATACCTCCAGGGAGGTTAAGACCCTGGCTCCTGGGCTTCCAGGTCATCTGTCTTGCAGAGAAAGTGCATAGCAGTAGGCCAAGGTTCCATACATGTATGGAAAGGGAAGGGACATCCCATCCTTCTAGGAAGCATCCCATTTGGGTAGGGACCAGTTAGGTGGCATTCCACACCTCAACACAGACACTGTCGGCACATCTGAGATCTACTGTGCTACACACCCCTGTGATTGTTTCCAGTTGGGTGCCTTCCCGCCGGGCTTGTTGTGAAGTTCAAACTTTGTCTTTAATACAAGTTCTGCTTCCTGCAACTGGATTCTGAGTATTTACTGATGTCACACCACACTGCACCGCCCCACACATACATCCAATATACAAACATGTATTATCAACAAAGGGCCCAACACGAGTCCTGGTGGAATTGTGCACATATACCCTGGTATGTATAGTTATTAATAGATATACCTCCTGATGAATGGTGTGGTCCTGGAACTCAGAGTTAGCCTATGTACTCTGTGTCTTAGTCCTTGATAGCATCTAATCTGTCATGCAACCCGACCTCTAACTACCAGAAGTGGCCTTCAGGTGCCTAATCTGACTCTAGTCTATGCTGGTTATCAAGCCCTAAGCTAAAACTAGCTATAGAATCCCAGACCAGAATGGACAGGGTTAACTAAAACAACAGGAGCTGCATATAAACTCTATTGCAATAAACAGGTTCAATTACTAACATACATTAGGTGACCACTACACATGCACACAGACTCAGCTGATATAGTACATGTGAGGTAACAACAAAAGGACAGCTTTACTTCTATCACTATATATATATATATATATATATATATATATATATATATATATACACACACTATATTGCCGAAAGTATTGGGACGCCTGCCTTTACACGCACATGAACTTTAATGGCATCAAAGTCTTAGTCCGTAGGGTTTAATATTGAGTTGGCCCACCCTCTGCAGCTATAACAGCTTCAACTCTTCTGGGAAGGCTGTCCACAAGGTTTCGAAGTGTGTCTATGGGAATGTTTGACCATTCTTCCAGAAGCTCATTTGTGACGTCAGGCATGGATGTTGGACAAGAAGGCCTGGCTAGCAGTCTCCACTCTAATTCATCCCAAAGGTGTTCTGTTGTGTTGAGGTCAGGACTCTGTGCAGGCCAGTCAAGTTCTTTCACCCCAGACTCGCTCATCCATGTCTTTATGGACTTTGCTATGTGCACTGGTGTGCAGTCATGTTGGAACAGGAAGGGGCCATCCCCAAACTGTTCCCACAAAGTTGGGAGCATTAACTTGTCCAAAATGTCTTGGTATGCTGATGCTTTAAAAGTTCCCTTCACTGGATGCATATTCCAGCTGTATGCACAAAGTGTGTTGAGCTAACCAGTTTTTAACCTTTTTGTAATAAAATGTATTTACATTTTATATATATGTATGTTGGCTGTAACATCCCATTACTCAAGTGGGGAAAACTCTTTGGTCTTCACTGGAACTAAGTGGCCAAGCCCAACCCCTGAAAAACAACCTCACACTATAATCCCCCCCTTCCTTCAAACTTTACATTTGACACAATGCAGTCAGGCAAGTACCGTTCTCCTGGCACCTGCCAAACCCAGACATGACCATCGGATTGCCAGACAGAGAAGCATGATTGGTCACTTCAGAGAACACATCTCCACTACTCTAGAGTCCAGTGGCGGCGTGCTTTATGCCACGGCATCCAGGGCTTTGCATTGCACTTGGTGATGTAAGGCTTGGATGCAGCTGCTCGGCAATGGAAACCCATTTCATGAAGCTCTCTATGCACTGTTATTGTGCTAATCTGAAGGCCACACAAAGTTTGGAGGTCTTTAGCTATTGACTTTGCAGACAGTTGGCGACTTCTGTGCACTGTGCTCTTCAGCATGCTCTGAATCCTCTCTGTCATTTTACCTGGCCTACCACTTCGTGGCTGAGTTGCTGTTGTTCTCAGTTGCTTCCACTTTGTTATAATACCACTAACAGTTGACCGTGGAATATTTAGTAGCAAGGAAATGTCATGGATGGACTTATTGCACAGGTGGCAACCTATCACGGTACCATGCTTGAATTCATTGAGCATCCGAGAGCGACCCATTCTTTCACAAATATTTGTAGAAGCAGTCTGCATGCCTAGGTGCTTGATTTTATACACCTATGGCCATGGAGGTGATTGGAACACCTGAATCCAATGATTTGGAAGGGTGTCCCAATACTTTTGGCAATATAGTGCATATCTATCCTAATAATACCTTCCGGTCTGGATTTGGCAGCATGGATAGGACATGTTCCTGAGACTTTCTCTCTCTCTCTCTTTTCACTTCTTCCTTTTGGAGTTTCAAAATCCAACCTCCCAGAGACAGGAAATTCTAGCATAACTATACATAACACTGTGATATTAGCAGCTAACAGTAGAGGGCAGCAGATCCCTTCAACTGCAAATTAAGAAAAAAACAGTGACAAATACCTATATTTCTCTACTGGTATGAGTATCAACATTGTGAATGCAAATAATAGGTTTTCTTTTTTTTCTTACATTGGTACTTTACTCTAATTGAGCCAAAGATTTAGGATGATCATAGACATACATATGTTGTTTTACGAATAAGCTACATAGTGAGACTTCTGCACATTCTTGATTGCTCACAGCATCCTGTCCTGTGACTCAATCAGTGGAGTGAAGTGCAGGAGTACTTCTATCTTTTCAGTGAGAAGAGGGAGAGGTTGACAAAGGGTCAGACCTGTCACAATCACAGAGATTGTGCAACAAGCTGGAAAATCTTTGTGTGCAATGATGGGCACTTCCTACGCAGCCAACTTCTCATCCAGGCAATCACTCTCAGCTACCATTCTGGGAGGTGGACTCTTCCTTTTGTCTGGGTGACAAGGACAATTGCCTTGCAGTGGCCTGTTCTTTATCAGGGCTTGATAAGGTGCACAGACTGTATCCCACTCTTTAGTGATGACATTAGAGAGACTGTTCAGGGACTTCTATTTTCTACCACTGTGACTTTCACTCATCAGTACAGGTAGCACAGTGCCAAGCAAATCTGTACAAAGTATCGAGGCTGCCTTTACCGACTTCTCATTCCTAAATTCTAGTTTACTGGCTACTATGCTAATCCATTGGTGTTAATACTTTAATACTTTTACGTCATGGCCAGATGTAAGGGGGTGCTGGGGTGGGGTGGGGTGGGCTGTGCCCCGCCCAGATTTCAGTTGTGCCCCCCCATGTGCCCCCCCAGGCAGACTCCCCCCATAGACATTGTGTCCAGCTGCTGAGCTCCTATCTCCATCCCCGCACTCAGGGCCGGGACAAGGCGGGCGGCTGCCTGGTGCAGTGAACTAATATAAAAAGTCTGAAGAGATGTGACAGTGGCAGAGAGAGAGAGCCAAGGGCAATGCATTGTGCTGTGCTCTCCCCCTTCCTGTCATAACAGCGATCCTCCATAGAGGGGATGTCACAGAGTCGCTAGATTGGACTGTGCACACACTGCTGACCCCATTTCCTCTGCCCTTGTGACCCCTCCTCTTTGATATACTGACCCCTGTCCTGCTGACCCCTGTCCTCCGCCCTGCTGACCCCTGTCCTCAATCCTGCTGACCTCAGTCCTCTGTTCTGCTGACCCCTGTCCTCTGCACTGCTGACCCCTGTCCTCCATCCTGCTGACCCGTGTCCTCTGCACTGCGGATCCCCTTTCCCCAGGATCCCCTTTCCCCTGTTCTTGTGACCCTTCTTCTTTGCCATACTGACCCCTGCCCTTTGCATTGCTAACCCCTGTCCTCTGCACTGCTGACCCCCTTTCCTCTGCCCTTATGACCCCTCTTCTTTGCCATGCTGACCCCTGTCCTCTGCCCTGCTGAACAATGTGCTCCATCCCGCTGACCCCTGTACAGTGCCCTGCAGATCCTTATCCTCTTCCCTGCTGATCCCTGTTCTCTTCCCTGCTCTCCACCTGGCTGACCCCTGTCATCTGCTCTGTTAACCCGTCCCCTGCTCTGCTGACCTCTGTCCTCTGCCCTACTGCTCCCTTGTCCTACAGACTCTTGTACACTCCTTGATGATCTCTCATACTCTGCCCTGCTGACCCACTGCACAATGCCCTGCTGACTCCCTGTCCTCTGTCTTGCTGATCCCGTTCTCTGCCCTGCTAACCCCCTATACACTGCCCTGATAACCCACTGTACACTGCAGTACAAACCAATGATCTCTGTACCTTTCCCTACAAACTGCTGACCCTAACTTCTCCCCTCTGCCTGCTGATCCCCTGTGCACTGCCCTACTGCATCCTACACACTGCCCCTCTGACCGCACATCCTCTGCCCTCCTGACACTTTTTACTGCAGCTCCACATCAGGCAGGCCTTAACAATCCTACTATTAAAGTCTACGGGGTCAAAAACACCTGAATAAGCTCAAAAAAAGGTCATGCACCTTGGGCCAACTGAAAGAATAATGCCTGGTACACACTAACAGTTTTTGTTTTTTGTTCTACCAAGTGAGCTGAATGAAAAAACCAGTGAAGAGCTCGGGAGGATCTTGCTGTACTAACTATCCAATGTTAGTACAGCGATCTGTTCTGAGAGGGGGACTACCTCCCACAACACACTGGTCAGCTCTTGCAGCCATTGGCTGCCAGCACTGATTGGATGTCAATAAGATGCTGGTTTTCTAGCATGCTTCTTCGACAGAAGTCGGCCGTTTAGCCAGCTTCTGTCAGACAGGCTGGTGTACACACGGGCTAAATGTTGGCCTGTTTCTGTTATGTGTTCAAGGCTTAAGTGTGAACAAGGTCAGTTAGAAACAATGAGATAGTCAGTTGTAGGGAAATGAGTACAATAGCTCAAGTGAGAAGGGGGGCTTAAACAAAAAGGCAAAAGCACCCGTTTGTATTATTCTTAAATTAGAATTTAACTTAAGGCATTTGAGCTTTGCATTAGTTTAATAATTCTTAATTTGGCACTAATTTTTTTTTGATTGAAAAGATACTTTTATTACAGAAGTATAAAAAACAACATGATACTTGTAATCGGGGTACATCTCACCCTGTACTGCGACGTAGCGCACCACATTGCAATACAGTTCCAAGCATACGATAAATACATTCAGAAATAAATACATTCGCTCAGCGGTATGATGCCTGACGTGATGTGCTAGAGGATGAATCCCCAGACCAACACGTCATGCATAACGCCGCTTACCCCAAAACCATAGCATCCTAATACACAGTACATTTCCTAATATCACTAAGTCATGCAAAAAACAAAAACCGAATGTTACAATCTACAATAGGCATCGGTGTGTGTGGGGGGGGAAGGGGAAAAAAGGGGAAAAACACAGGCCCGAAGCTTTATTGAAGAGACAAAGACACGCAAGGGGGGGTAGGGGGAAGGGGAGATCTTCAGACGTCCTCTTCCTCCTTAAAGTCCATCAAGATATAGTCTCTGAGCAGACTGAGGATCAGTCTGCGGCAGTCCTCAATGGACATCCTCTCCCGCTGGTGGATGAGGCGCTTCCTGGCGCACCATAAAGCGTCCTTTAAAACAACACAGCACCCGCCAGGCGCCGTCAATGTCCTCCAGAGAAAAAGTTCCACAGAATAGTCCATTCAACACCCCAAAGTGAGTGATGGCTGTCTGTGGTACAAAGTCCTTGAGTTCAGGTTCCAGGGCCCCCAACAGGGCCTGAGCAAAAGAGCACTCCCAGAAAACGTGATGAGACGTTTCCTCATGGATGATGCAGAAGGGGCAGTGTCTTAATTTGGCACTAATAGGTGGGCTGGGCCAGGGTTATAAAAGCTAGTAGGTTAGGACCGCCCCAAGTTAAATGTTCACAACCCCCTTCCACAACATACCAATCCAATTTATAGCCTGCTCTCTTGGTTTATTACATAGAACTCTGTGTTTACTCATTCTCATGATATCCATTGCTCTGTTCTGCTGATTCATTTTGCAGAGGTGTGTGAAAGTTCTGGCAGTGGAGTTATAAACAGTTAATACTCTTGGGTGCTGCCCAACGTACACTCCTTCCTGGTAGGATATCCCTGCCTGGCACCCACAGATATACAGCCTGGGTCATGTCCATTTCACTACAATCTCTGGTCATGGAAGGCAATGGCTAACTAGCAATGAATGAATAAAATGTTAATCATTTGGGAGCACTGGAGAGAGAGTTTAGAACAGTTTTTAAAAGGAGAGAAAATAATGAAGATTATATAGAGATATAAAGAAACGATAAAGTGAAATGCATGTTCTACTAATTATTTTATCTGTGATCTTATTTTAATGTCTATGTCTATAAATTACATCTGATCCAAATGAACTGTTGCACAGGAAATTTACTAGTATGTATCAGTGACAGATTAGAATTTGTCATTTTCTTTAACTATTACTGTCATACCACATTTGAAAAAACATAAAAATTACATTTGTTTAACAGAAATAAGGAAAGATGACAATAGGATAAATCTTTTGCTGTTTGAAAGTTCCCCTTTAGCTGGTGTATGGTCATCATTCCCATGCCCCCGTTGGTGATGACACTTTATACTGTAGGTTCTCACGGTGACCTCATGAGAACTTCAGGGAAACTGTCAGAATGACTTAATACTCCAAATGGAGCACCTGTGCTCACTGATCCTGAAAGCCAACACTGTTGTGAGTCTGGAGGCAGAGCCTGGAAACCTCCTACCTAAGGCTATATGAACGCTAACTATGACACCGACAAGTCCACCTGCAATGTTTGTGTAGTAAGGAGAGGCCATTTATCATCTAATGCAGATATTCCCACCCCTTTCCTCAGGCCTTAGGATCCCTTTCCAGGTGGATGGATGAAGCTGGCTAAATTATTAGTCCATCTGTGCTTCTTTAAGGGAGACCAGACAGCTAACGATTAGGCTACAAAAAAGAATTATAGAAATTAATTTGATCAAATTATTTTGTTATCTACAGTATTACAGAAAAGCAGATTCTAATAATTTCAGGAAAGCACTTTTTTTCCAAAACCAATAGGATTAAGACACTGAGGGCTTCAGCAAAATGCCTTTATTTGAAAATTGCAACAGGGATACAGCTATGTACTACAACATTTTTTTCTCAAAAAGAAAAGGCTACCATGCTCAGTTAGAATTTCAGG